GGGCATGTGTGATGGTGAAGTGACCTTGGAAGGTTTCTGGACTTTATCAGCAATTGCTTTGATGGAAGAGGAATTCCCCAAACCAACTAGAACCGACCTCTGTATAAGATACCTTGGCAGCTTCCATGAAACACGACACATGTTTGAAATCACATCTCATCTATCAAATTATTTACGCACTGTCCCAAAAGTAACTCCACTACAATAATTGCCGTCGCGAAGTTGTAGTTGAAGCAGATAAGCAATCAAGTACTCACCTCTAGCCCGCTTTATGCCGGGAAATTCTTCATGCCGTCCTTTTGGTTTCTTTTATTATATCGCCTCTGTCAGCACGAAAAGGAATCAGGGGAAAGTGGAGTAGTGGAGGAAGAGGCTGGGAATGGGATGTTGCGGTTTTGGCTAGATTGATTCAGAGAGAAGGAATAATAGGAATTAGGATGCCTAGGATAAGGTTATAACAAAAATTCCTAGAAGAGGCACGAAACGAAGTCCCTCGAATATGAAGTGAAGGTGTTCTGATGGCGCCAAAATGTCTTGTAGATGTAAATACAGATACAAGTTCGATGTACATGAAACTTATTATTCGGTAAAACTATATTCCGGACACAAACAACGTCATTTATATATCACTACAGTCCCACCATCTTTCAGAGCATGTAGGCAGCGCTGTTAACCACCTTACCCCGCTTCACCCTGCGGTTGAAATCACCTCGTCATCTCTTCTTAATTTAGCTCATTGCGGATCCAACAGTTCCCGTATGTTCCCGCATATCTCTCTTCAATGATACCAATTTTGCGAAAGGGAATTGCTGACGTTCTAGAGTGCAATCATCTCACCTGAAGAGTCAGAGTTGCAGTCAGGTGGAGTGGGTGGCTACACCGAGTACACCAAATACCCACCAGAAGCGGAGTCAAGTTCTTAAGTAGGCAGAACTGCAAACGCTCTCGAACATGACTATCGTTGTCGGCAACACTCAACGGTAAGTACGGATTTACAGTCAAATTTTCGATGGTCTCGGTAAGACCGGCAACTGTTGATTTTTTGGTATACCAGGCAGACATGTGCTTGAAGTGTGAAAGGTGTGAAATGCAGGATGCGCTTTGCCATTATTATTGATGTGCGTGCCATTATTATTGATGTGCGTGCCATTATTATTGATGTGCGTGCCATTATTGCTAAGGTCTCAGCCAAGCCTGTTGACGGAACTTGAATATCAATACACCGCTTCGTATCACCAAAAACAAAACTTAAGCCGAAGTTGCGTTCTCATCGTCATTGAAAGCATCAGCATGAGCAGTAACATCGCCCAATCTTGACCCGGTCGATCAATGGAGCACCGCTGAGTGCCCGGGCGTCGTAAAAGGAAAACACCAGGAGCCTGGGGTTAGCTTGGGCATGAAAGAAACGGAATCTTCAATGCCCCTGTTTTCGCTTTCGCTTACCAGGGTCTGGAGGTCCTTCATCAGGGAAAAAAAGGGGGGCCATGGTACCCCAATTATTGTCGCCATCACCCCGGTTTAAACATCGAACGCCCTCGGCCTTTACTTCGACCCAGGGGGTATTCTCAATCCACCCCACGTACCGGCCGGAGGCTGTAGAAGTAAATGCCCGAAAAATCCGATCTTCCAACTGGACCCGGTAGACGTTTGGATTCGTTCTCTCATTGGCTCCATGTACGTCGTTCGTGAGTTTACCAAGTACCTGTACTCATATCCATTTGGAGCTGAGGCCGAGAATGAGATGATATGCGTTGGTGTCACTGGTCTTGTGGACCTTAAGCTTTGATCATGGCGAGACGACAATCAGATGGCATCTGGATACTGCTCCAAACCCAAAAGGAATTTTTCTCTCGTGTCATTTCCGTTGCAACGATCACAGCGCGCCACTATAGAATGGAGCGCGGTGGGGTTGACTATCGGGATATTAAGGAGTTTGTAACTATACAAAAGCCAACAATCAGTCAGAAGTGGGCCAGATAGCGTCTATGCATGCTGAGACTGAGGTTGAAGTTGCAGAGTCAAACGGTGCAGGTGTAGCCGCTGGGTGTTGCACTGCAGCTTGAGGGTTGGTAAGAAATCAACGTGGAAGGAATCCCGTGGAAAAATGTCAGTCCAGCCCCCAACTCCAACTTCTGAAAATTCCCAACTGGTACGAGTACTGCGGTGACAGTCACCTTGAACTAGCGAGTCGCCAGAGGGTCTTGGAGTTGCGATTCTGACCCTAACCCCCACCCACCAAGGCAAGGCCAGCGACCAGGGTCCCAGTTGCCATGTGCTTCACGAGGAGCCTTTCCTCATTGGGGAACTTACGAGTGTTGCTTGGCTGTTGTGGGGAGAGTGGGATCGTCTGCACAGACTTGAAGGAAAAAGATGTCCAAATTCAAACTCAAAACTTGGGTGGAGAAAAGAGCATCAGCCTTCTCCAAATCCACATTTGTTTGTGTCAAGACTCCGCTTCATGGATACCAATATCACGGGCCGTGAACGATCACCAAATCGAAATCGACCGTAACCAAAAATGGTGATTTGCGAGATCACTCAGGGACCAGGTCTGTGTTGAAGAGCTTACTCCTACTAGACATGGCTACAAGAGCTGTAGCCCTAACTCCACCTCCATATCTAGATGTGATGTGCAGCTCGTACGGTACATTTTCTGCACGTCGAATTCGTGGCTTGAACACCACCAACAGACAGCGGGAGGGAAGTCGCAACATCAACCGACCCTTTAACCGCGCGGTTTCATCAGTCAGCCGAAAAAGAGGGTGGTCAGTCCACGTGAACCTCCCCCCTTTCTCGGGCAAACTGGCCTCTTCCATCCCTTATCCCTCATGGCACTCATGGATGACCGGATTACCAACTACTGGGTTGCATCTGTATCAGCATGCCAAAATCTTGGGAAGGAATCTGATGTAGCATCGTCGTTCTCTGTTTTTCTCCGCCAGATGGCACAGATTGCCAGATATTTGAGGTGCTTGAATACTTCCGTACCGTCGTGACAAGAGAAGAGATGTTCTCGAAGACTCGAAAAGGTGAGATCAAGCCACCGATACGCCATTCAGGAGCAAGAAGCCCTTGCCAGACTGCCACGTTACGCCCCGCACTTTAATTCTAGGCGCTGAAAACAGTGAGCATCGATACCGACCGTACCTGCAGCCATTGTTATTGCCAAAGGAGATACTCGTAGAGAAAAGCCTCATGAGGAAAAATGGTTTGGTCATCCATTAGAACTTTGAGTCTTTCCGCCCGGTTGCGCAGCTCGCGCTGACGTGCGAAGAGTGTCACTGATGCCATTGGGTGCTATGAGGCAATACGATCATGTCACCCATCAGCCACCATGATGATATAGATGGTGTTGGTTGCAAACAAATATACCATATTTACAACCAACTTTCCAAGTTCCTCATGTCATCGGCGAAATCCCCTGCATTATTGTTGTACATGTACAGTACAACCAACACCCGGAAGGAAGAGGATGCTTGCTGACTCTCGCTGCGTGTGTGACCCTGGTTCTGCCGTCAGTCCTCGTGGAAGCCATGAATTACACGATCGCTTCCAAGCTTGGTGCCCCCCCTTTCCAACCCTCCTTCCACATTCCTATGTTTTGGACAGGCATATGAATGTCATGAACGCACACCAGGGTCGATGCTGGTCACGCTCTAATGAATCCAATGAAATCATTCAGACGAAAGCAGCGAAATGATGTTGACCAACATGGCAGTCACGCACACCCTGGGGGTGACAGAAGGCTGTAAGTGAGAGTGAGTCCCTGAAGTTTGGAGAGTTGACAGTTTGGAGAGTTGACAGTTTGGACTGGCGTCTACTTCCGTCCCAACCCTTCAGCGAGCAACAAAATCTACCCGTTCCCGAAATCTAGCTTTCAGGCGCTACAGAGACAGATTCCTGGGACTTCATCTGTGCCCCGCGGCAGCCTGTGCGTTTGTTGGGAGCTCGAGCTCAAGTACTATACAGTACGTACCGTAGCTTCTGGACATCGGATGATTGATCGTCTTCTGTCTTCCCTCATGGCAAAGCTATTTTCGTCGTTGGAAATTTGTAAATCCTTACTCGCACGGGCGTTGGAGCCAGACTTGCACCAATTTAATGAAGTCATGGGAATGTGTTGATATTGAACTTCGGAGGACATGCTCGCTTTGGAGTGAACTCCAGTCGCACACTGCAACGTACGGCCGAAGGGCCATGTCCCAGGGTCGCAATGTGTGTGTGAAAACACAACCAGGTCGCTATGTGTCTGATGTCAAAATGAAACGACTCGAGCGCCTCCCGAATCCCCGTGGAGGCCGTTTGAGGGTGGCTTATGGGCTGCAGTTTCTCTGCATGGAGATGTATTCAGGAAGGGATGGTTCCCATGTTACCGTTACGCCAATGATGAGCAGTGTGCGTGAGTTTTCAGTCTCCCTTTTGACGGCATATGTGAGCATCTTTCTTGGAACGCAGGCGTAGCCGCTGGATTCGAAAATACAGTACACGATGCTTACCCATCCCATCTTGCATTCCAAATTTGAAGATGGAGATGTGATGCATTCCTCTGATACACCACCCATCGAACTTGTGCCACGTAACAATCAGTAGACACTTCTCACTGCTGCAGTGTTGCCCTTCCCCCCTCTCCTTTTCACTCGTTCCTCGTTCTCTCTTCTACACACCATATCTCGCGCGAACACCATCCAGGCCCAGCTCGTCCCACAGTCCCAGGCTCCCGGCGCGCTTGCCCCACCCTCAAATTGGTGCGGGTCCGGGGATAAGAGAGCCGTCGTAAAGATGTCCGGATTGGTCTGCTCGTGAGATGCCCAATCCGGCCATTAGCGTCCGGTAGCTAAATGAAGACGAATGAATGACTGATTTATAAAGCAATTAGAAAGCACCAGGGCCTGCGAATCTTTTTTTGGATTCCTGACAACGCAGGCAAAACATGAGCAGTTTACAACAAATCTGAGCACGTATGAGACAGAAAAATCAGAGATGATGATGAGAGGGTGGGGTCAGGGCAAAAAAGTGTGGAGTCTCTCATTTTTCTGACTCTTTGTGAGTAAGTCGAGCCTCGACAAGCTCTGAATGCCAACTCGTACGAGTTTTTTTCTTTTTTTCCTTTTCTCCTTTTCTCCTAAATCACTTTCTGTCAACTCCAACCGTACAGTGCAGCCAATATCCCAGTTTCCCACTACAATACATCGTACAAGCCCGCCCTCTTCTAGGGTTTCGTGATAAGCACTCGCGTAGTATCATAATTCCCATACATCCTTCAAAAAATTGCTACATAGTGTGTATATCCGCGAACGTAAGAAAGGGTATTCGACCAACATGACAACAAATGACGCCGAAAACCCAGTGCATGCCCCGAGCCCAATAATGTAGGAAAATAGTGTTGATGCCGTTTACAGCCCGATGCGAATTCATTATGGAGTGAGATGAAGGAGAAATACGAAAAGATTAGTCGGATCCAGTAACGTGCACATAAGACCAGGGTACTGCCATCTGCGCGGTGAGGTTGAAGTGTAACCCGTCAGCCGCCCCCAACAGTCTTCATCGCCACAGTTCTCGGAAGAAACCAATGCCGTCTCAAGACGGGTTGATGAAATGATGACGGCGTTTTGGGGCTCGGCAGAGGATGCGTGGAAATGTAGGTCAAACTCTTTTTGGATATGTTGCTCGGTGTAGATATTGATACGAGATATCCTGATCAGCTTGACCACGCTTGCTGCTGATGGTGGTCATCGTTGTTGGACAGGTACCCATGTCGTTCCAGGTATGGTCCCGGGGCTGCCGTGAGCGCGCTGTCATGGGGACCGAGGCCATTAGACGAACTGTATGAAGCTTGTCTAGACGCGTTTTCCGCTTGTCGTGGATTGACGCGCATGGAGCGTGGGTGTGGGTTGGTGGTGTAAATTTGCGGCCGAAAGTCTACGGTTTCGATATCGAAACGCTTGGAACAACCGTCTTCCATATGTCTGCTCGCATTAGCGAAAGAACTAGAAAGAGGAATAAGAGTAAACATACCTTCTGAGAGTGTCCTTGCGGGCAAAAAATCGGCTACAATAATCACATCGGTGATTGCGTTGCTTCATATGGACGCTTTGGTGATGTCTTTGCAAATCCGTTTTTCTTACAAATTTCTTGTTGCAATCCTTCATAGGACAAGGAAATGGGTATTCTCGACTTGCGTCATGCGTTTCCATGTGAGCTTTATAGTTGTAGCTCCTACCGAAAAGCTTTCCACAACCCTTGACGGTACATTGGAAATTTGCGTCCTCCTTAGTGGTGAGTTTACGAGGTTGCCTTGTTCGTGCAATAGTACTGTGACCCCGACGTGCTTGAGCTCTAGTTACTCCTCGTTCCTGACTTTCAGACCGCCTGTCGTATGGTGGAATGGGTAGAGACGAGATGGAAGGCAAATCTTGAGTGGTTATTGGATACTCGATCTTAGGCCATTCCAAAGGAGGTTGTTGATCTTGATAATATGTTGCCTCGAGGCTCCCTGGGTATGGACTAGTGGATGAAACGAGAATATTGTTGTGGTTCAGTTGTGGCGATGCACTGATCATGATTGACTCTCCGTTGGAAGAAGCATATTCTGGATGGTCTTCCATCTTAACATGCGGCGTGTAAGAGTGGATGGATCCAGGTTGCGTGAATATTTCAGATGCAGGAGTTGATGAAAATGAAGATCTTTGGGATGCGTGACCTGATGGTGCTGGAGAAGCTGGTAGTATCGAGGATTCGGCAGTCTGGGTAGAATATATATCATGACTATACGCAGCTGGTACGGCTGGGTGAAAGGGTGTGAAAGGATCGTAGTCTGCTGAAAGGATGTTGGGAGTTGACTGAGTCGACCTGGGCTCGTTGCGATGTTGTAAGTTGGTCGTTGGCCAGTGGTTGGTGGCTGTAGTTGATGATGGAAGTTGTGTGACCACTGAGCCACCATTATCTGTTGGCGATCCTGTCATTGCACACGAGTAGAGCCCTAAGCCTTGGAGAGGTTCGGTTGGTTTGTAGTGCGAGTCACTTTGAGCTGGTGACGGATACTCATAGAGCGGCTGAGGGTTTGATGTGTATCGAAAGGGCGATGTTGGAGAACGTTGTGATTGAGGGGTCAACTCCATTTTGATAGAAGAAGAGAAAGAGGGATGAAGTCTGTGACCAAAAGTCGACGAGGCAACCAGTTGATATGTTGGAAAATGAAGGGGTTTAAGTCAGGAAAGCCGAGCGCTTTGTCAATGCATGTGTTGAATGTTGGACTTAGGGATTCGTGAGCCGCTGATTGGCGATTTTGAGAAACACACGCGGTAATGGTGGGGATCACTTTATGAGGCGCATTTGACAACGGGGAAGTCAAGTGTTGGATGGGGAGGGGGAACAACCACGTTTTGGGAAATTCCTACTGAGCAATAAATAGCAACGTTGAAGGCTTGTGTTGGATTCTGACGCAGGACGATGCAATACTGATATCAAAAAATCAAGAAGAGCAATAGAGAAAGATCGAGAGGAACGAGGCAGACTTGTAGGAAGAGGAGCATTCTTGAAGCAGAACGAAGGTAGAGAGCGACCAGGGCCCCGGGTCATAGATGTCGAGGAGGAGACCAGGGGACCAGGGGGCCATGGTATGCCTGCGGTTGCTACGGCATTGATTCAGATGGGCCATCAGAGGATGATGGATGGGCTTAACCATCTTTGGACTAATACACACAAATGGAACTCGAAGAGAATAACAAGGGACAGGGAGAAGCAGAGGCTGACCCGCGAGATGGATGCAAGAGGTTGGCTCCCGAGGAACGACTTGAGCGACGGGGGGAGGAGGGGGCTGGATAAGAAAGAGAGGCAGAGAAGACGAGAGGGGCATTGGGTGCGTCTGTACCATGTCAACGGTCAGATGTCTGCCTAGAACATCCCTGGATACCAACAGTGAGAGAGGATGGGGATGACAACCCCCAAAGCAGTTGACAGCAACACCCGTCAAGGTCAAGGGGAGACAGCTTGACAGGTGCAGGTGGACTAGAGTGGTGAGAGCAACGCCAGGTGTCCGTTCGACCGCACCCGATAAGCGGTGCCCACAATACCCGCTGGGTCACTGGGTGCAGATGATGGCAGACTAGGTAGGAGGTATGCTACGAGTAACTGGAATGAGGTGCAACCGGGGATGCAGCCTTGCAGCAGAGCTTGCTCGTTTTGGGGTGTTTGGAAAATAGTTGCGACTCGCGAGCTTGGGAAACAACAGGGGCAGCATGTGGCCCACGCAGTGATGCAGGGCACCCAGCAGCCAGCATCAACAACATGAACTGCTCCCATTGGTAAGGGAACGGAGTGACAGGGGGTGCAAGGCAGACTTGGGGATTTGCGAATGACTGATCTTTGTCAGCGAGATTAAACGGTGCAGATGACAATTATGCTCCGGTCTCTTTTCATCTGTGGACGACAGACACCTCCCACAAGCTCTTGCTGCTGCCAATCCAACATTCCCCAACCAACAGGACATCTGTGAGAATGATACTTTAGAACATATAATCGCAAAATTTCCGGAAAAAGCACGACGACGGGCCCGAGTCGCTTTAGCGAGTGGTACGTACCTGTTCCGTGGATTCGATGCAATGTGCCATGTACGCAGGACCATCAGGTTCTACGGTTTCTCTGCTCGTAACTTGTCACTGTCGGAGTGGTGGCATTGTACAACACTCTTGGCTCGGGTTACTGTAGATGAGAATCCCCTGAAGGATCAGCCTCACCGTTTGACATCAGTACAAGTAAAATTTAGTCTGATTCTTCCGTCCATCCAGCCTTCACCACAGACCACGATCCATCCCCCTTGCCCGAAGCCCACTTTGCGGATGCGGATGGCTGTATTTCGCGCAGGGTCCAGGGAGAGCTTACCTATCGAGCAGCAGAAGCGCTCGTGGGGGCCGCTGGCGGCTGTGGGGCAATGCATCGTGCATTCTCACTCGTTGAGTCGTACCACACGGCGCTTGTCCGCAGTCTCTTTGTGGAAAGTAAAGCCATACTCGGTTGATGTCTGAGATCTTAAGCCTTTGGCGCTGGACCCGATGAACTCATGATACGGCTCCGTACGGTAAAGGAACTCTCGCCAACGTTAATCTCTAGGCAAGGTGTCTTGTTTGACTAAGCAACCCCCGCTGCCCCGCTGATGAAGCAATTTTGTTTTGTTTTTGGAAAAATCGTGAGAAACAGTGAAAGAGATATATTTAGTACATCCATCCGTATCTTATTGAATAGGGACTAAGTCCGGTGGATAGAGGATATCCTTGGGGTTGCAAACGGGTATCAAACCCGGTCGCCAAACCATTGATCGATCCGTGGCATCATAGGCAAAACACACACAGATGACTGAAGCGTTACCAACAGATATTCGCCAACGTCGAAGAGTGGATGTGCGCGAGCTGCAGAGCAAGCCTCCTTGTCGATTCGCACGTTGTGTTGTGGTGGGGGATGCAGGGAAAGAGGAGAATTCCTATTCTTCTTGTCAAGAATTTTATGGCCGGCGTTAGTCGACCATGAGGTCGCCATGCGGAGTGTTTCCGGTTCACTGATCCTTCATGGTAGCACAGCCTCGCAATGAAGAGCCCAGGAAAGTAAGAAGCATGCTAGCGTCGAGAAATGAGATAATAATAGCAAAAAAACAGTGCAGATATAGACCTCAAATCTTAAGGTTAACAGAGAAGTCTGGCAATTCCATCTCGGCTCGACTCGATTACCTTGGCCCAAAGAGTCGTGGTGCTTGACGAACCGGGGGGGGGGGGG